CTCCTGGCCCGGCTTGGCCTCCGAGCCCCGGACTACCCCGGCCCGGACGAGAACGATGAATTCCAAAGCGGCCGACCCTGCCCGCCAACCCCCTCCCGGTACCTCGGCCGTCTCGAGTTGGGGAGACAAGGAGATATCACATTAGAAAACGCCGGAATTCCATCCCAGCCCCAGTCGGGGAGGCCGAAGCCGGAATGCCCGGACCGGCGGCACGGCGGCGCCATAGAGACGTCCGAGACGCCGAGGCGCCGCCGAGGAGCAATTCATATCGACGGCAGGGAGGATCATTCCGCCGCTCTGTTTCTGCCGCACTGGTCGGGGGTGAGAGAGACAGCACGACGAAACGAACTCCGCAGTCCGCAGCCCCGACCCCGGAATAGCGCCGCCGCCGCCCCGCAGCAGGGGCACGCGGGAAAAGAATTGACGGGTACAGTACTCGAACTCGGGCCGGGCTTGGGCCGCTGCGGCACGCTGCGGCGCTGCGGGTCCGTGCGCCGCGCCCCTGCGCCCTTACGACGCGCTGGAATGTGGGTCAGGACCGTTAGGACCGTCAGGACCGTCAGGTCGCCGGCGTGGCGTACCCGGCAGCGCTGGGCTGGGCTGGGCTGGGTAGGGCCACCCGGCCGAACAAAGTCCTGCCAAGTCCCCGTGGGCACGGGCAGCACGGGGCACTCTGACTGCCTTGCCTCGGACCGGCCGCCCCCCGGGAGCGGCACGGCCAGGGCCTTGGCCAGGGCCTTCCGGGCCTCGGCCACGCAGCACGACGCAGAAGCCCCCCGCCGAGGCCGACAATCACTGCAGCGGGGCTGTGGGGCGCTGGGGCGCGCGGAATGAGGGCCGGGAAGGGTCCCCGAACGACGCGACGGCGCCAAAGGGCTGCTCAGCGGCACGGCCCGCCCGCCCCGCCCGAGGCCCTTCCGCAGCACACCTTTCAGCGGGGCCGCGCGGCCCGCCGGGGGACGCCTCCGCCGAAGTGACCTCCTTGTAGACGGCCATCGCGTCGCCGGGCTAATTTTATTTTACTCCTCTCCGCCGGGCGACGGCGCCGCCGGTCGCTAACCTTTTCCGTATTGCCATTTTCCCCCAGGCCTTGGTGCCCGCCCTGCCGCCCTGCCTGCCTGGTCCTCTCCTCGCCCATTGTCGCCTCTTCTCCTCCTTCTCTCTCTCCTCCGCCTCCTTGCCGCCGCTTTTCCCAATTTCTCCGCGGGAACGGGAATACCCTTGCCGACGACGCGGTTCTGCTCGAAGAATCGCCTCATGTCGCCTCGCCGAAAGCGCCGCGGGCCGAAGCCCCACCCCCCAAGCCCGAAGCCCCGGCCGCACAAAAGCCCCACCGCCCCCCTCGCTTTCCGGGCCCCGCTCCCCCCAGCGCCAGCTGCTAACTTGTGGAGCCGCCGGGACACGGCGGCGAAATGGAGGGAGAGAGAAACCAGCGAGATGAGAGATTAACTCGGCCACACGTTTTTGTTCCTTTTCCCGCGCAAGTCCTGCCTGCGCCCTGCGGACGACCAATCATGGCGTGCGATAAGAAACGCGCATAGACATGGAAACGCGTGTAGGCAGCGCGGGGCGGGCGGCCTACCCGGCCGGAGATCCCCACCCCACCCCCGTCTTCCACACCCCACCCCAACTCCCGCAGTAAACTCCAATCGGGTACAGATACCGGCAGACTTATTAGGCCGGGACGGGGTGCGAGATTCAATTCAAGGGATCACGCCGCCTGATGGAAGCCCCACCCGCCGGCCTGAGCAGCGCCTCGTCGCTCTGTCTCTCTCGCACGCGGGGGGCGTCTCGCAGGGTGGAGAGGGAGAGAGAGAGAGAGAGAGAGAGAGAGAGAGAGAGAGAGAGAGAGAGCGACGAGGACTGTTCGGGATCGGCCAGGCCGCCGCCCTTCAACTAAGTTCGCCCGATAAGACTTGAGGCCTCCGCGAATCTCGGCCCACGCTGTCTCTCTCTGACACACGCCGCCCGCGCCTAAGGGGGCGCGAGTTTGTCGTAATTTGTTTAAGCGGGCCGAGGCCGGACTGCCTCGCCTGCCTCGCCGCGGCCGACTTTTAATCTGGCCGTGTTCGGCGGCGTGCTCTCGGCGCCAACAGGAACACTCAGCACGGCCAGGCCGGCAGACTGATTCCGAGAGTCGTTTTCGTCGCTCTGCCTCTCTCGCACCTATTCCGGACGCCCCACGAGTGCGAGAGAAACAGAGCGACGAAAACGACTCTCGGAATCAGTCTGCTGGCCGCGGGGCAGGGCGGCAGGGCGGCCCAGGGCGCACGGAAAATGAGGGCAATTCACACAGTGCTCAGGGGCGCAGAAACACCCCGAAGCGCCGTCAGCGCCCCCCCCCCCCCGGGACGGCAGCATGCGGCAGCCCCCTCCCCCCTCTTTTTGCCGACCCCTCCTCCGTCCTGGAGCCTGGAATGTCCTGGAGCGGCTGGAATTAGACTCCAGACACGCGTCGCGCGCGCGTGATCTCATTTGCACGACGGGGACCTGGGCCTGCCTGCCTTCCTGCTTGTTGGCGCTGTTGGCGGCAAGTTGGGCCGGTTTCATCGACACGTCGGTGCTTCCGGCGGCCTGCCTGCCTGCCTGCCTGCCTGCCTGCCTTGCCGCCTGGCCGCCTGCCGCGACCGCAGCCATCTGTTCTCCGGGACACCCCGGCTGACTCATATTTGCATTTGGCGTGTTCGCCGCGGGAAGGCCGCGGGGCGTTAAGGGAAAGGGGAAGGGAGGGGCGGGGGTAGCGCAGCACCTCGCATGTGTGGAGCCGCCCCACCGCCGACAGCCAGCGCGGAGCTCTGCCAACAGACTTAACCCCCGAAGCACACCGCCGCACCCCGCCACGGAGCGCCACCTCACGTCGGCGCCTTCCAACACGTTTTTCTTTTCCATTTCTCGCGGTTCCTATTTGCAGCGGTGCGCTTGCTATCAGCTCGACAGCCCCCAAAGCCCCTGCGTGCCTCCGCGGCCACGACGACCCAAACTTAGTTTTGCCCCCAATCGGCCAGGCCTCCGCGCCCCCGCCCCGACTCCAACACGCCGGGCGAGCCGCGGCGAGCGGGGAAGGGAAGGGTCAACGAATCGGTCAGACGCACGCCAATCCCACGTAGTCGCACGTCGTTCACAGCGGGGCCGCGCCATTGTTGGGTGGACGGGCAGGAGTTCTTACTCTCGCAGCGACACCGATCCAATTTGCATGTACTTTCCCCCAACTCACACAGAGACACCCCCACACACGCACATACACAAGTCAAGCGCACAGGTGTAGTATTGTCTCCCTCTCGACTCCCCCCGGCGGACCCGCGAGCGCTCTGTGGCCGCGGCCTGGCCTACCTCGCGGTCGCCCTCGAGGTCCTCGAAGCCCTCGCGGTGGAGGCGAAGAAGTCCAGCGTGGCGGCCACGGCGAGCGGTCCCTGCGGCGCGGGCGGCCACGCTGAGCGCGCATGCGGAGCCGGAGTCCACTCAGAGGCCGTGCCTCAAGGTGGTGTCACTGAGGCCTGTCTCACAGGCCGTTTCGCAGACTGCTTCGCTGGGTCGTGTCTGCTTCACCGAGGCGGGGCGCTGCGAGTGCGCGGTTCACTGGCGCGGACTCGGCGGTTAGACAAAGCCAACACGACCACGACGACGTGGCGGCGGCGCGACGCCCTCGACGCGACTACTGGAGAACAGCAAGCGGTATTTACACTGGCCGCCCTGCCCTGCCCCCACCCCCGGGCCGCCGCCCCAGTGTCTGCGTGTGTGCCCACACTGCCCACCCGCGGGGTGGGGGCGAAATGGACTGCCACGCGCCACTGACCTCCCCCCTCCCCCTTCTCTTTTAGAGTTGGTAACGCTGTTGGGGCAGTACCTTATTAATTTCCACCCCGCGGGTATCGCCCTTCCTTTCTGCCTCCCCCGCAGCAGCGCCAGCAGCGCCAGCACTCAGGAATAAAAACGAGAGAGAGAGAGAGAGAAAATGCGTCCTTTTAAAACGAAAAGCCTCGCGACTTTTTCCTCCGGCCCCCCTTTCTCTCTCCCCCCTCCCCCTCTACCCCGCAAAGTGAGAGCAATCCTGGCCGCGATCCGCGGCGGGTCTCGACAGACTACAAAGGGCGCGGGGGTGAGTGATCGGCCGCCGGAGTGGCCGCATGATTGAAGGAGGAGAGCGAGAGAGAGTGAGAGAGAGAGAGAGAGAGAGAGAGAGAGAGAGAGAGAGAGAGAGAGAGAGAGAGAGAGAGAGAGAGAGAGAGAGAGAGAGACAGAGAGAGACAGAGAGGGAGGGAGGGCGTATCCACGGGCGGGGGGTTGGAATGAAAACGAAACGGACCGACGGACAGACAGACAGCGCAACCCGCAATACGAGCGGACGGAGCGGACCACGAAAGTGGCCGAAAAGCAAGTGTGGCAGAACACACCCCTAGGCCCTCGGCCTGGCTAGGGCCGGATGGGCGCGGCGCTGCGAATGCCGATTGGCGTGGTCGTTCTGCGGACTGGCTCCGAGAGTCGCTCTCGTCGCTCTGTCTCTCTCGCACATACAGGACGCCTCATGCGTGCGAGAGAGACAGAGCGGCGAAAAGGACTCTCTGCTGGCCGCACGGCCCGCCACGGACGCCACTGCCCCGATCCAGCTCCAGACTCCAGGCCACGCCCTCCCTCCAGACATTCTCCAGATGCACGGAGGGAAGTTCCCCGGCCTCGCTGCTGCGCCGCGCTGCCGTGCCGCGGCTCTGAGGGCGGACTCATTCTGCCCTACACCGTGTCCTCCAGGACTCCAGTCCTCCCCAAAGGGGGCGGCGGACGGGCGGACGGGCGGGCGGACACAGAGAGCGGAGAAGCCTCGGGAGAAGCAGAGACGTTTCAAAGCCATCTCGAAATGCGCGCCGCGCGGCCCGCACGGTGGGGCTGCTGGCTGTGGAGAGGGCGGCGGGAGGGGCGGCCACACGGAGACGCTTTTCCCCGACCCCGCTCGCAGACACTTTTGAACCGGGCGCGTTGGAACCCCTAGCTCGAAACTTGGTACTCACTGGCTGTGGTTGTCGTGCGCGCCGCGGTACGCCATGGCGCCGTGACCACCCTCCGACATGTAGCCGTCCGCGACGTCGGGCAGCCCGCACTGGTTGGACCGCCTCCGCAGCACGTCGCCGTCCGACATGTAGCCTGGAAGAGAGAGGCAGATGTCGCGTGGTTACTTTTACTACCTGATTCGGGTTACGGATGTGAAGCCAACGCCGGCTGCGAGTGGGAGCCTCTGGCTTGAATGGAAACATGGTCACGCGTTGCGGATACCCCCGCGGCAACGGCTCCAGAGGCGTGGGGTAGCGCGGGCCGTTCCAGGCGGCTGCCTCCACAAGGCGCGGACAGGCAACCCGCCGCGCAGCCGTGCGTGGCAGGCACGGCCGAGGGCACGCGATACCCCGCGCGCGAGGGCCGCAGAGACTTGAAGGCCAGAGGCCGCCGCCGCACAGGAGGCGGCCAAAACTCTGCGAAACAGGACTCGAACCGAACACGCCACCAATGGATTCCTCGTTGAGAGCAATCCATTGGTGGGGTCACACGTTTGCGGTTCGAGTACTGTTCAGCGACTCTGGATCTCAAAACGCGTCTAGAAGTTTGGCCACCCCCACCCGTCTTCTGGCCCACTGTGAGGGCGAGCGCGTTGTGTTCACTCACCGGACGACATGTCGGCCTCCACGTCGGCCTCCGACCGCTTGGGCTCCACCTTGTAGGCGGGGTACTTCTGCTGCTTGGCGGGCTGCGGGCCGCCCTGAGGCGCCACCAGGCCGCGGCCCGTGCGGTGGTAGCCCTGCAGCAAGGGCTGCATCGGTTTCACGTTCATGGTCGAGTCCTCGTCGTCGAAGGAGCCCTCGGCGGCATGGCCGTGGCCGTTGCCGTTGACGTGGCCGTTCGCCTGGCCGTTGGGGACGCCGTTGGCATGGCCGTTGGAAATGTTTGAGTCTTTGCTCATGATCTGGAGGAAGAAAAATGTTCGGGTAAGTCCAGTCCACGTGAGCTTCACTTGACTGAAGCCCAAATTACTCGGCAGAAAGCGCACTCACCATGCTGCTGCAGTCTGAGTCGCTCGGCCGGAACACGATGCTGCCGTCGGACGAGTTGCTGTGGCCGGTCGAGTTGGACAGCGACGAGTCCGCCTTGGAGGAGTCCGTGCGCGAGTCCGTCCGCGTGGAGTCGTTGAGGTCGCTCTGCTGCAAGGGGCTGACGAGCGCCACGCTCAGGCCGCCGTTGATGGAGTTGACCACGTCCACGGGGTTGTTGTAGTGGTTGAGGGCCGCCTCGTCCTTGGTGGGCGACTGCCTGGGCTTGATCACCAGGTCCTTGCTGGCGTCCTTGAGCGAGATGAGCGAGCCGTGGTGGCTGTCCGGCCTGGCGGGCTTGCTCGTGCCCTTGACGGCGGCGGTGGGCTTGGGGATGCCCGTGCCTGCACCCGGCGGTGGCGGCGCCGGCATGCCGTGCGGGGTGCCGTTGTGGCCGTTGGGCAGGCCGTTGGGTCCGTTGGGTCCGTTGGGTCCGTTGGGCAGTCCGTTGGGCAGCCCGTTGCAGCCGGGCGTGCTGAGCGGCGACACGGACCCGTTGTACATGCTGCCGGGCCCGCTGCCGGGGCCGTTGGCGGGCGGCGAGGACGCCGTCGAGTTGGAGCCGCTGCGCAGGTCGCTGACGCCGCTGTCGCGGTCCCGCATGCTGGGGGTGCGTTCGGCCGTCCGGTCCGGCGTCACGGCGGCCGGCCGCGTGTCCTGCTCGGGCGTGGACGCGCTGAGCCGCGACGTCGGCGTGCCCGTCGGCGTGGTCAGCACCTTGGGCGGGATGAGGCAGGACGCGCGCCGGCCGTCCTCGTGGTGGTGCAGCTGCTCGGGCGGCCGCTGCGGCACCAGCGCGCTGCCCACGCCCACCACGGAGCCGCTCTGCCGGTGCTGCTGCTTGGCGCCCGCCTTGGCGCTGCTCTTGGGCGAGCCCTGCTGGCCCTGCTTGGCGTCCTTGCCGCGCGAGATCTTGCTGCGCAGCCCCGACAGCGACGGCTTGGGGCTGGGGCACGGGCTGGCCGCGTCGTGGCTGGCGGCGTAGTTGGGCAGCAGGGAGTGGCCCTGGGGCGTATTCGAGTCCCTGGGCCTGCCAACCAAAAGCAACAGTCATACACTGCAGTCCACGCGGAGGTCAGCAGGACGAGCCACGCACAGTGGAGGCGCCCAAAAACGCGTTTTGAGCTCCAGAGTCGCAAAATGGGACCCGAACGTGTGACCCCACCAATGGACCCCTCGTTCGGAGAGCAATCCATTGGTGGGGTCAAACGTTCGGTTCGAGTCCCGCTTAGCGACCCTGGAGCTCAAAACGCGTCTAGAGTTTTGGCCGGCGACTGTGCCGCGTGGCCGCTTTGCGCCGCTTTGCGTCGCGTACCCGGAGAACGGCTTGGCGTCGAGGCTGGTGGACGAGTCGCTGCGCTCGGACCGCGCCGAGCTGAAGCCGCTCGAGCTGGACGTGCGCTTGGAGACCCCGGTGGTGGCTGCGGACAACGAGACGGGGATGAGCACGACAGGCACTACACGCCAAAGACGCAACGCGACGTCAATCTCACCGGAGCTGCTGCTCTTTATCTTCTCAGTCTTGTCCTTGTTGTTGAACAGCTTGAACTTGTCCAGCATGGACGAGTTCTTGCCGCTGCTGGGCGGCGCCGCGTTGGCGCTGTAGGGGCTGGCCACGCTGGGCGTGCGCAGCTGCGAGTGCTGGCGGCTGCAACACCACGCACGACATCATCGCAATGACAGTGGGGGATGAAAACAGAGTGAGGCGAGATGGACTGGCGGACGCACCCGTTGCCATTGATGTGCTTCTCGGTGAGGGAGCCCCGGTTGCCGGGCTTGGGGATGAACGAGTGCGTGGCCGAGCTGGGGCTGGTGGACCGCGAGCTGCTGGCCGAGGCGGGCTTGAGCGGCCCGGCCGCGGACTGGCCGATGGCGCTGATGGCGCCGGGCGGCAGCAGGTGGCGCGCCTTGTCCGGCGGGTTGCGCCTCACCGGCGTGGACGTCGCCGGCACCGGGATGCTGGTCACGGCGCCGTGCTTGCCGTTGAAGGGCGACGGCAGCCTGCAACAGGGAGGCGGCCTCGTGAGCACCACGTCGAACCCACAACGCGTCCACAAAGAGAGAAAGACCACACACACGGCGCCGACAGGACACGCACGTCACTGACACTCGCTACGCGACACGTCCAAATAACGAGCTCGCGCCCGACACAAAGGAGGCGCGATTTTTCATATTTCCCCCTTCGTTCGTGTCGCCGGCAGGGGAAACGCGAGACCCGAAGCCACCGAAGACCTCTCTAGTACTGAGTACCGAGCAGCCTGGCGCTGTTGTTGTCAATCCCCGCGAGTGAGGGCGAGGAGGAAAGGTACCCACCACCCTCACCCCCGCAGGGGTAGTAAGCTGCACGCGTGCAGCGACAGCAAAAACAACAACAACAACAACAACAACCACTGCAGCTGGAGCGAAAGGGGGAGGAAGGGGGAGGCGCCATCATCAGGAAGCCTGCAGTGGAGTGCACGCGCGCACGTGTGTGAGTGAGAGTGCGTGCCAGTGTGAGTGTGTGGGAGGCAGACGGGGAGAAAGCGAAAAAAACAGGGGTGGGGGGAAACGAGAATGTGTACTTATTAGAGGCTGGCTGGGGTGCGCGCGGTGCGGAACGGCGCGGGGGGGGGGGGGGGGGGGGGCAGGAAGGCCGCGACAGGGGAGACTCTCTCTCACCTTCAACGATAGGCAATCACAAGTCTACTCGTGGCGCCCAAATCCGAATCGGGCGGGAAAAAAAGTGTAACAAATGCAGTGCGATTGCAGGGTAAAGTACCGCGAACCCCCGCACCCCGCTCCAAGGCCCTTCCCCCTTCCCCTACCCCCGCGCGGGGCGCGGTAGCGTATTAATTTCGCTAACGACGCGACGTCACATGCATCGCACACGGCGCGGTGCGGTGAAGCGGAAAAAGGGGGGGGGGACGCGGAACCCCCCACTTAGAGGGTAATCACTGCCGCTAACTTCGAGCAATTACTGCATACATTAGCCCCGTTTCTCGAAAATATTCTCGTCCGATCGATTGGAACATTATGCTGAAGGGTTTTCTAGGTTTGGACAGTCAAACAGGGGAGGACTGAAATGGAGTCCATATTCAATCCGCCATCGTCATCACCGCCAGGGTGGATGTGCTTTGGCTGACAGTTGAAATGGGGCGCGATTCACTGCAACATTCTCCGCGCAAACAAGCCCCTCCTCAGCCAGGAGGCAGACGCGGTGACGGTGTGAAGAGCGCCCGCAGCCACGCTTTTTCATTTTAATTTTTTTTTCGCGCCGCCGAGAGGAGGACAGGTGCCGTTCCAATATTTGCGGGTGGCTCAGCAAAACGAGTCCCGCCAAACACGCCGCGGCCGCGAGCAGCGCGTCGTCCAAACAGAGCGTGCGCACTCCGCCCGCAGCGCCCCGGCGCCGCACAGAGGACAGCCTATTTCGTGTGTGAACCCAACCGTGCACCGACCGGGGCCTCCGCTCGCCCTCCGTGCCTCCAGGTGCGAGGGGCGGGGAAGGGGCGGGGGAGGGGAGAGCGTGAATGAACGCCCAGCCAGCCGAGCGTGGCGTCGGCGTGGTCCATTGGCTCGGCAGCGACGGGGGCATTCCCTCCGCCCCGGTAGGCCACTTGGCCGTCTTTCACGGACCGTTCGCACGGCGTTGGCGCGGCGCTGGCACAGAGGCGCGCGCGTCGCTACCCCACGCTCCAGCGAGCGCACACACGACACACTGTGACAATCGGCGGGACGGCCCAGGTCCCCGTCTCCGCACGCCCTCCGACGAAGGTCCCCCGGCACGCACCGTGCATCTAATGAACGCAGCCGCCCCCGTGAAGTACGGCCCCTGCGAGCCCCAAGGGTGCCGTGCCGTGCCGTGTCGCCGCGCAGCCTGCAGACGCGGCGACTGCACGCGTCCAGGGAGACGGCTGGGCTCCACCACACGGCCACACGGCCCCGCCCAAGTCCATTAGTCGCGGTGGGTGGCTCGGCGGGCCCGTGCGCCCTCCGCTTAGCGCACCGCGACGCGCGGGGTAGCGCCGCGTGCCTTCCATACCCCACGCAGCGAAAGGCACGGAGGGCTCCACGAGGAGAGTGGCGATACTCCACGCGCCCGGTTATCGTCACTGGAGGGTGCCCCGGCCGCGTGGCCGCGTGGGTGGCAAAGCCCCCTGATTGACATTTGAAACCGCTCCGCTTCCGGCGCGCGGCCGCGACGCCCCGAACGCCGAGACGATTAGTGATTCCCGGCCTGGCCCTCCCCGCCCTCGAGTGGCAGCGCCGACGGGGCGCGGGGCGACACTCCAAACAGCCCGCGGCACGTTCTCGCCGAGGCTTCGCGGAGCCCAACTAGTCCATGAATACAGAGAGGCGCCTCGCCGCGTCGTCGATGCATTATCAATAAGGCGAAGGCGGGGCGGTCGCCGCGTCGCGGAGTGAATAATCCGCGGCCGCTTATTGCGAAACAACAGCCGAGGCCGCTTGCCGGGCCGCCGGGCCGCCGGGGCCAAGTTCGCCGCGTTTTCAGGGGGATTCGGGGCGCTTCATCGGCGAGGACGCGCTGCGCGGCACCGCCCTCGGCCGCGACGGCCACCTGGGCCAGCCCGTGAATAAAACATCGGCCAGCCTTGCAGTGGAGGGGCTGATGGCCGAAGGGCTGACAGCCTGAAAGGGCTGAGGGGCGAAGGCAGGGCGCCTCGTCGTCCCTTGTCCCGCTTCCCCAATGAAAACACTTGATCAGACCGAGTGCTCGAGGAGGCCGCGGCCCGCAGGCCGATTCCGAAGTTACAGCGCGTCTGTCTCTCTCGCACTGGTAATCCCAGGGCGTCCCGCAGGGGTGCGAGCGAGACAGAGACAAAGTGCGGTTCGGAAACAGCTTTTTGGCGGACTGTGACCGCTCGGGGCACGATGTGGAAACGCTGCCCCGCACTGTGTCTTTCAGTAGGGCTCCGCATCAAACTGCGTGTCCTCGACGCCTAGATTGCCACTAGACACCTCCAGGACGTCCTGTCCTCCCTCGATAGCTCCTGTGGACGACCTAGATTGCCCCTCGACACCTCCTGGACGTCCTAGATTACCCCCGACACCTCGGCCCTCGGGCGCCGGCCGGTGTGGCTCCAGCTGTCGGCGAGACGGCGCGACGGCGAGGGAAGCCCCCAGATTAGGCCAGTGTGTGTGTTTGGCCAACACATGCCGCTACCGGATAGCGCGCTGCAGCTGCCGCGGCACCTCCATCACCTTCACTGTAAACACGGCGCCGAGGACACGGCCAGCAGCAGCACCCCGCTCGGGATCAAGCCGTGAGGACCTGACACCGTTGTCGCCTCGGCGCGGCGCGGCGCCAGCCCCGCCAACGTGTCCGTTAACCATGACGGCCTGCTGGTGGGCGTTCATAGCGGAGCCGGTGTGCATGGCAGTGTGCATGGCAGTGTGCATGACAGTGTGCATGGCAGTGCATGGTGGTCCATGGAGGTTCATGGCGGTACATGGCAGTGCATGGCAGTGCATGGCAGTGCATGACAGTGCATGGCAGTGTATGGCGGTGCATGGCAGTGCATGGCAGTGCATGGCAGTGCATGGCAGTGCATGACAGTGCATGGCAGTGTATGGCGGTGCATGGCAGTGCATGGCAGTGCATGGCAGTGCATGGCGGAGCGGGGAGGGGAATCGAGTCCACGCCGCTTCCGGTCATGGACGCATAAAAAGCTGGACGAGTAGCGGCCGATCACACACAGCCGGCCCACTGCCCGTGCACGGCGAGCCCACGGCCCGTCGCGACAGGAAAAGTAGATCCCTGATTCATATTCCGAAGCAGGGCTGACAACCTGACGACCGCGGGACAGCGGCGGCGCGCTGCCAACAGCCGCCAGGTCGCCCCGCCCGCTCCGCCCGCGGTGCGTCCGGCAGGCTCGTTCCCAACAGTGTGTCGCCCCGTCTCTGTCGCACTCGAGGGGCGTTGCGTAGAGGTGCGAGAGAGAAAGGGCGCACTGCTCGGAATCAGTCCGCCGGACTGGCCGGCCCGCGTGTTCCACTGGAGCGGAGCTAAGAGATAAATGGCAAAAGGCAATCGAAGCGGCTCGGTTTGGGCTTGCTTTGGGCCGGTTTAGTATTCGCCTCATTTAGACGGATAGGCCCTGGTGCGGCCCTGGTGCGGTGCCACGCCCCGTCCCTCTCACTCGCACCCCTGCCACTCCACTGCAGCCAAGAACAAACACCTGACGCCGCGGCGAGGCGAGGCGAGGGCCGGCCGGTCCGGTACGCTAATCGCCTCGGCACGCGAAGCAAACATTCCGACCGCAACAGTGGGGCGTTGTGACGAAACGAGACGCGCGGTCTCATTAGAATTTTGCGTCGCATTCTCGTTGCAGGGCAGCAATGGCAGCGCTGTCTCTCTTGCACACTGCGAGCGGAACGCCCCCAAGTGAGTGCGAGGGAGACGGCTGTCAGTCTGCAGCCTGCTGCAGCGCTGTGCTTGGCCGTCCGTCGACCTCCCACCGCAAGCAAGCAAACAAACGGGCGCAAGCCGCACGCCGAGTCCACGCGGGAGTCCACGCTCGAGTCCACGCTGGAGTCTGCACGTCGAAGCGTAATCCGAGCCCAGACGGGTGGCGCGGACTGCACCGCCGGACGCGAACGCACTTGAGTCCATCACTTTATGTCCGGATCCGCACACGTGGGTGGAAGGAACACGTGGAACGGCCGCGCCCTGCTTCACACACACACACACACACACACACACACACACACACACACACACACACACACACACACACACACACACACACACACGCTCACCCAGTCGCACATACAGATACACCACCCACTCGTTTCCACGGCCAGGCCCCCCTCGCCGGGGGTACCCACAGTGTACCCACACAGCCGGCGGCGCGGCAACTGGTACTCCGGGCAGACGGAGGGCCCCCGCCTTGCCGCCTTGCGGTCCTTCTGTCTCGCTCCTCACTCAAGGGCGGGGAGGGGGAGGGGTACCCGTCAACTGGGCCGCGCAAAACGCCGGCAGCGGAGCCGGTATTTGAACC